ATAAACCCTACTTTGTCATTATCTTTTACCCTTTTCTTATATTATTTTATTTACTATGCTAAATTTTATTTAGAATTTTTGCATTCATGTTCATGAAGGATATTATTTTGTAGGTTTCTAATAATGCCATTGTCAGGTTTTGGTGTTAGGTTTTTGGCCTCATTAAATGAGTTGGGGGGGAAAATAAATGAGTTGGGAAGTATTTCCTCATTTTCAACTTTCTAGAAGACTTTCTGTGGTAATGGTATTATTTTCTTTTGAAATGTTTGATAGAATTTACCAATTAATCCATGTAGGCCAGAAGTTTTATTTGCTGGAAGCTTTTGAACAACACATGAAAATTCTTTATTATCTATAAAGTAATTCAAGATTTCTCTTCCTGAACAAGCATTAGTGTTTTTCAAGAAACTTATCTATTTCATATAAGATGTTGAATTTTTTGACATAAAGTTTATAATATTTCCATTATCTTTCTATCTCTAGAATCTGTAGCAATGTCATTTCTGTCATTCTTGATATTGATAATATGTTTCTTCTCTTTTTTTCCTAATAGTCTCACTAGAGATTTATCAGCTTGGATTAAATATTTTTAAATATTGAACAACAAAGCTTTTTATCCAGCCCTGGCCAGTATGGCTCAGTTGGTTGAGCATTGTCATATGCACCAAGAGGTCACTGGTTTAATTCCCAGTCAGGGCACATGCCCATGTTGCAGGCTCGATCCCCAATGGTGGGCATGCAGAAACTTTTTTTCAGACTTCTATAAAGCTTGACTACCATGTCTAAAAGGGGAAAAACATGTATTAAATGTTTATAAACATATATTATACCAATACATAATATTCACATATTATAAAACATATACCAAAAAATATATTATACTTATCCAGGTTGCCATTGAAATTTAGACATTAACAAAAATAAAAATCCTCACAGAATGTAACATTTCTGAATCGATTTTTTAAAAATATTTACTAGTGCCCAGCGGAATGGCTCAGTGATTGAGTGTCCTGGTTTTTGGGCTCGTTCCCCAGTAGGGTCTCAGACGCAGGAGGCAGCCGATCAATGATTCTCTCTCATCATTGATGTTTCTATCTCTCCCTCTCCCTTCCTTTCAGAAATCAATAAAAATATACTTTGAAAATATTTAATAGTAAAATTGAGCTATTCAGGAGATAAACTAGCTCATAAGCCCCAGCTGGTTTGACTCAGTGGATAGACTCTACCTTCAGTGGTTCTCAACCTTCCTAATGCCGCGACCCTTTAAAACAGCTCCAAATGTTGTGGTGACCCCCAATCATAAAATTTTTGTTGCTACTTCATAACTGTAATTTCCCTACTGTTATGAATTGTAATGTGAATATCTGATATGCAGGATGTATTTAGACGACCCCTGTGAAAGGGTCCTTCAACCCCCAAAGGGTTGCGACCCACAGGTTGAGAACCGCTGGGATAGAGCGTCAGTCCTCGGACTGAAGGTTCCCAGGTTCACTTTCCAGTGAAGGGCACTTACCTCAATTGTAGGCTCCATCCAGTCCCTGATAGTGGCACATGCTGGAGGCAACCATTCAATGTGTCTTTCTCACATTGATGTTTCTCTCTCTGTCTCCTCCCTCCCCTCTAGTCTCTCTAAAAAAATCAATGGAAAAATATGTCCTCCGGTGAGGATTAACAAACAAACAAAAAATAGCTCATGAACTGGCCCTGGCTGGGTAGCTCAGTAGGTTAGAGTGTTGTCCCAATATTCCAAGGTTGTGGGTTCAATCCCCGGTCAGGGTATATACCAAAATCAACCAATGAATGCGTAAATAAATGGAACAATAAGTTGATGTTTTTCTCTCTCCTTCCCTCTTTTCCTCCCTTCTTCTCTGCTTCTTTCCCTCCTTCCCTCCCTCTTTACTTTCCTCTCTCTCTAAAAATCAATAAATGTAAATAAATTAATTAATTAAATAGATCCAGGAGAATCTGGCAAAAAGAACTAAGAATGAAGATTAAGCCCTTTAAATAT